GAGATCCCGGGCCACATCCGACTGATTAGTAGCGTAACCTATTATAACAGAATAATTTGTGTCTTAAATAATATTCAATTTGGGATATCAAATTAAAAGTAATAGTACCCAGATCGTTTTCAGTGAAGCTAAACCCAGCGCCAAGACCTAATAGCTACATATTATCCCTCTTGAGGACTGGGGTGCACATAAGGGATTCTGATTGCAAATCTAGGGTCAGGTTATGCTTTCCTGGCAAAACACGTTTGTCACGCTTATCACTACTGTGTGGCGGCCCTCCATCTAACCATAGTATAAGGGGCGCCGACTTGTTTCCATTCTATACATTGTTTTTAATTATATGTTTTAGTTTAGAAAAAATTTGTAGCAATTATAAAATATAAAAACTATTAATTAGTTATGTTTAAGGAATTTTGTTCTGATCAAAATAACTAGTTTAATCTATTACAAATAAAATTTAAAATATAATAGCCAAAATAAAATTGCATTTATAATCATCCAATTTTAATATATAGTCAATGGACATACCAGTGCCGGGAAGTACCAGAAAAACATATTACTCTTGTATTCCTTATTAACGGTCAGAAATCCTGAATGATGTGTAATATTGGGCGCTGAGGGCATACCATACACTCGACTCAACTTCTGTGCCTCAGCTACCCGTCCGATCTCGATATATGGCGTCAAATACAGTGGATCTTTGATATTACCATCGGGTTTGACATTAGCCTCGGAATGCGATACAAATATGTTTGGACCTAAAAGGGCTGTTGAACCGTGAATTGTGAATAAAATACTAATAGTACTTATTATGGACTTCATAATTAAATAAAATTACTATTTGTTTTTATAATATTATAAGACCTTTTATTATATCAGAATTGTTGAGCTTAAATATCAACAATATAGTACTTAAAGTGATTAGAGTTAAGTAAAAAGTACCTTATTTGGTCTTGTTGATAAATTGTATGTTTGACGTTTTGGTATTGTTTAATCACAGTTTGATGAATTAAACTTATTTGTTAAGATTACAGGTTTACAAAAATGTGATATAATCTGTTATTAATAATTAATATTAATCAGAAACAGTCATACGATATATTAAATAAAAGCTAAGAATTTGTATAATAAACATGCAAAGTATATCTTTTTATAAAATTACGTAAAATCTATTTTATTCTTAATTATAACTATAAAGTATTTAAATGAAATAAGTACATGTCGTAATATAATTAACAAGTTGATTCAAAATAAACCTAGCTTGTTTAATGTAAGTAGCAATTTAAACACAAACTCTATAATTCATAAATGAGGCTTTCCAACGAATACAGGCGCTGATTGCGTAATACTGCTTTGGCATAAATGGGACTAATATACGGTACACAGTAATACTGTGACAGTATTGATATGTAGCATAACACAGTACAGTAACTGTAAACTAAGCACTTTTGGTGCCTTTTCATATGCAATGCATTGCGCAATGAGTGCCTGTATTCGTTGGAAAGCCTGAAATATTGATTGTACTCTTATATTGAAATGTTTATTAAAGAAATATTTTTAATTTTTAGATCCTGACGATAATATAGTGAAAAAGTGATCGAAACTTAAATATTTCACTTTAGANAGTGCCTGTATTCGTTGGAAAGCCTGAAATATTGATTGTACTCTTATATTGAAATGTTTATTAAAGAAATATTTTTAATTTTTAGATCCTGACGATAATATAGTGAAAAAGTGATCGAAACTTAAATATTTCACTTTAGATGCGAATAGTGTTATCAATTGTCGACTCAATTGTATTTCCAGTTTCCGTGATTACAGCGATTGCTATAAAAGTTTGCTATAAAATAATACATATGTCATGCAGTTTTAGTTAACTTTTTTTTGAATAACTTTTTAGTGTTTTAAACTAATTTGTTTTGAATTGTATTTGAATAATTGTTTTCATAAAATACTGCAATTTTAATGAGATATACAATATGTTTTTAAATTACACTTAAATTGATCCAGTTCCGGTAATTATGGCTGAGAATTTAATATATTTTAATTTAATCTAATGTTGATTACAAGTTTAGTAAATGATAAGTAATTAATAATTTAATAGAAAATACTTTTTAAGTTTATTTCTCATTATTTGAGTCAAATATAAAACACGACTTTTTATTCACGAAAATATTGTGCCCTTTAGTGATGAATGCATGCATTAGTGATACAAACACTCATATAATACTCACACGTATTGTCACATCATTTATACACTTATTATCACATGTTTTGTGCGAAAAGTCTTTGCATTGATGTGTTTGTCTCACACCTGAAGATATGGACTCAAGAAGTTGTGGTCAATTGTCCGCAGATATGGTATGTTATAGTGATTGTGTGTCCACTCAATACAACCACTCATACCCTCTCAAAATACATACATTTGGCCATTGATTGCAATAAGTTATCTATATTTCAGGCAAAGATGCCAATGAATGGCACTCAAGAGGAATATCCGAAGGACTCATTCGACAGATTTGGCGATGACTTATGCGAAGTGATATTGTCTTACCTATCATTTGAGGACTGTTTCCGATTTGAATGTCTGTCCAAACAGTGGCAGAGATCTGTATTCACTTCAAGACATATCTTCTCTGTCAGTGATATAATGCCGAAGAAGTCACAGTTTAATGAGATTACAGACAACGGTTGGAAAGCATTGGAATCAGTGGTCAAGAAGTGGACACACATTACAGACATTCATATTGACATCGATTCACAAGATATGGAGAGAGTGTTTGAAATACTCATGAATTCTTACAAACACTTGAAGACAATTGATGTCCGATTTAAGCCCAGAATTGATGTGCAAATAATAGACAGAATTGTGTGTAAATATGGCTCACTATTGACTGCTATATCATTGCCGCCATCGGGTTGTGAAGACGTGCTGGAATTGTCATTGACAAAACTTAGACAACTATCGGGTGAATACTGTGATGAGATGTGGTCAACGATTGTCACCGAAAACAATGAGTTATTATTCAAGAATTTAACCCAATTTCGAGTTCTTTACTCCTTATCTGATTGGCACCGATTGACACCATTTGTTGATCACTACAAGAATAGCCTGAAATCACTTTCTATTCGTATCGATAGACTGGAAACGTCTGCCGCATATATTCTTCTATTCAAACAGTTGTCACGAATGAAAGCATTACGAGAACTAAATATTCAAATGATTCCGATTATCAATCCCAAGACCCTCGAGACTGTTGTTGATTATCACTGCAAGGATTTAGTCAATCGATGGTCGCATCTCAAGAGATATCAATTGGTTCTGTGCTGTAAAACTGATCCACACTTCAGTCGATTATATGAATCGGTGTGTCGTATGAAACGCCTACAAAGACTTGAGTTAATACTGACTGCACCATCATTTAACAAACAAAAGACCATTCATTTGACCCCCAATTCATTGTCTCAATTGAAACGATTAACACATTTGTCTTTATATTTCAATCGTGTATTGAATGCGAGTTTCTTTGACTCCGTTGACACGCATTTACCACACATTGAGAGTCTGAAGATTACCAGTAGATTAGAGATAACGCCGACTATTGTCGCGATTGTCGAGAAGTTACCGCATCTCAAGTGCTTTGATTGGGTCAACAATACGAGGAAATATGACGATTCCGATGACTCCACGAGTAGCGATGAGTACACCAGTGATGGTCATTTTGAATGAGCTATCAATTTGTGTCCAAATATTTTCAATATACTTTTGTGTCAAATTATAAATTGATTTTATGTTGAAATTTGTTCCCAATTATGAATTTACTAATTAACCACTCATTTAATATCAGGTGATTAGCATCTATATAGTTATGACACTGTATTTCAATTGTTTTAGTATTACTAAATATCATGGCAAATAAACGGTTTGTTATTTGAATTGTGTTTCATTTCCCATATATTTATACCATTGCGTGTCATATAGTTTCGGTAATCGTTTGAATTCATATCTAATTATTTGAATTAATCTCATTCTATTACCCTGATGATCTTTAAATTCAAGTTCTTTGTCTGTAAGCTATTTGGTGAATGCAATACAAACTTTACTGACGATATGTTTTTAAATTACACCTAAATTTCTATCAATAATTCCGATACTATTGAGTCTATCGTTGACTATCACTGCAAAGAGTTTGTCAATCAATGGCCACAACTCAAGAGAATATCGACTGCAGATGTGATGCGGAACTGATTCAAATGCAAGACTAGTGTATGAATCCGTGAATCATATAGTCTATCGTTGACTATCACTGCAAAGAGTTTGTCAATCAATGGCCACAACTCAAGAGAATATCGACTGCAGATGTGATGCGGAACTGATTCAAATGCAAGACTAGTGTATGAATCCGTGAATCATATGAAACACTTACAAAGACTGGAGTTAATGCTGACGATTAACCACACCTCCGGAGGACACAAATGACCACAACATTGAATTGACACCGAAATCATTGTCTTCATTGAAACGATTAACACATTTGACGTTAATGTTACCAAACTGTGTATTGAATGCGAGTTTCCTTGACTCAATTCACACACATTTACCGCACATTCAGAGTCTGAAGATTGAGAGCAAACTAGAGATAACACCGACTATTGAAGCGATGGTTCAGAAGTTAGAAAAACTGGAAATCTTTGATTTCGGCGCCGATTTTGGCGATTCTGATGCTGTTGTGGATCCGTCCGATTGAGTGCCAAATATATTAATTAGCAAACATTTCTATTGTTATTTCACTTATTAAATAATATGCTTTTTATTTGTCTAATTCTAGAAAAAATGCATTTTCCTGTATTGATATACAATTGTTATGTATTGTGACTTTTCAATGACTTTTCAATGAGTTAATGAGGTCTCAGTTGTCAGCAGTGATCGAGACTAGCCATAAGAGGTGAGGAAAATATGAGTTTTAAAAAGTTTCCTGTTAACAATATCATAATAATTATTATAGTTTTTATTATATTTTTCTCTTATAATTTATACAGTATATCATAATTTAATTTTCAAAAGCATTTCTGATTCCATAAACATCAATGATTTTGCTTAAATAATTTAACTGTTAATAAAATGATTGTATAATGCAATTATATTATACTACAAATTATTTATAATTTTATTTTCATGCGAATTTATGAATAAATTTATTTCTAAACATTATGTAACTAATCAATACATGTAATCAATCGCACCGGTAGTGCAAAAATGTTTGTATTGTTTGTACTCTACCGGTCGGTCTGTTAACCTTTCAAGCAATCAATTGCTTTGCGTGTAAATAATATTTATGAAATATATAGCGTATAATATAAATATAAATATATTATACATTGTTTTAGTCAATAATATTTGTATATTCATATACCTGTACATGTATATTAATATTTACTAGTGTACTTTTTAATATTCCCAAATGAATAGTAAATAACACAAAGGCTATTTAGTTTTATAACTTATGTAATAACTCGTTAAATAAAATATTCATTTCCAGATTTATTTATCTCAATAAATATCAATTTAGTTTAAAGATCAGTGAAAACATTAATAAACAACAAGAGATCTCAAAGTTTAGTTATACTTAACTGTCACAATGCACCTGAAATTAGTAGGTGATTTACCGGCTCCCTGGATGAGTTTCAAAAACAATGATTTTAATAATTGCTCAGGGGGAATTCAATGCTATCTACTTAAGTATCTATCAAAGTCACTGAATTTTACATACGATCTTATATATGATGCTAATGGGACTGGATATCAGATGAATGGTACCTGGACTGGTATGATGGGTAGAATTTACAGCAAGGTTTGTAAATACAGTATACATAATTTAATATATACGCGTGCAATTCTACAATCAATTTGATATCAAGTTAATATAGACTCTACAATGTACAGTATGACTCTACATATTACAGTATTAGTTTTATAACAAAATTAACTTTTCAGTCCTTCTTATATAATTTTTATTATAAATTATAGAGAGATTGTGTAAAGTGGTTGTGAATTTAATTTGAATTTATAGGACAATAATCATGATTATAATAAATGTACACTTCATAGGAGGCTGATATGACAACATCTCCATTTCCAATAACGGACGAGTATTTCAAGACAAAACAAATTGATTACACGAATCCATATAATGTCGAGGAATCGCTTATATTGACTCGCATTGAGAATAATATTCGTCCCAATAATGAGATGCCCGACAATTTGCTATCACTTTACGACACAAAAAGTCTCATTTGTTTTGTCACTTCATATTTAGTGGTTTTGCTATTCATTGCCTTTAATACCAAATACTCAATAAAGTCGACCTCTTTATTAAATACTACACTCAATATATCACTTAAATTGATCGCTAATTTACTTCAGAAAGGTTAGCACGTATACCAATTTTTTAGTTCAACAGTTGAGCTTATAATTAATTAATTATTATGTAGACATTCATGGTGATATACGTAAAATATGGACAAATTCAGCGCAAATTCTGTATACATTCTGGTTATTGAATACATATTTTTTGTCGCAATTACTATCATCTGAATTGATGGCAAAGTTTAGCCAAAAATCGGAGAACAAACAAATGGATTCAATCGAGACGTTAATCAATTCGGACTTAAATATAGTTATTTACAAATCGTTTCAAGCATTGAATTCAATACAAGATAAACAATGTTTAAGCAAACTATACGAAAAGACAGCAAAATATAAATCGATGACAACCCTCAATGATATATTACACAATAATAAGTGGATTAAAGGTGTTTCGGAGGGAACGAGTGCTATTTTCTTATATGAGGTGCCGTTGAAATTAATAGTCATTGAGCACAGGCATGTTTTCCCGGACAACATTAGGTTTAGGTTTATGGCCGAGAGGTATGGCCAGCCTTTCCAGTTGTCAATTGCTATCAGTCGACGGCTTAATAAACAATTTCGAAATCGTATTAAATTAAGGTTTGTATGAATTTTTCAATAATTCTGGTACTGATTAACCTTTTTAAAATATTTGTAAAATGTTACCTATGTTTTTAAATACTACTATTTATTTTTCAATGTTTTAAACACTTTTCAAATGTTTGTTACAGAGTTTCTCAATATATATCGACCGGAATTATTGCCCAAGAATTGAAAACTTATCTAAATATGAGTGAAAAGTTTTTTGATGAAAAAGATTTTTATGACAATGATTATTATACTCCAATAACTATTAAAAACTTGCATTATATGAAATTACCTTTTATAAACTTAGGTTTATGCACCATTGTATTTATGTTGGAATTGACATTTGTATTAATACAACATTGCATAACATATGACAAAAAAACCTGTATTCACAAAAAAATTGTCTTATTTGTTTGACAAACAACAAAATAATTATTTTATTCAATGTTTTTGTAGAGATTTTGATAAATAAATTGCAATTGTATTGATTTTAACAAAACAAACAATTTTTCAATTTGTTAATATTTGTTCAATAATGTCACTAGTAAAATAGTTTATATTAAATAAGTTTGTTATAAAAAACATTTTTAGTTTAATTATTGAATTGTTTAGGCTCATTTTAAATATATGTTATATATAAATAAAATATTACAAATATGAAATTTAATTTTAATTTTGTTAAACAATTATTTTTCATCTTTTGTTTGTCTGTATGTTTGTACCAAATCTACACAATATGTGAAATATACTTCTCATACAAAACCACAACATCTGTGAGTTATGGAGACTTTTCGGTCATATCTTTGCCGGCAATCACTATATGTTTCGACAAAATGGATGTTTTAAGGGATGAGTATTTAAATCGATTGAATTTATCCATTAATTTCAATGAAGACGAAAGGCATGCCAATGAAATAAAAGTAGAAAAGTTTTGTAGTAATTATACGATTAGACAACAGTTTGATATGTTTTACACGTTTAATGAAATATTCACAGACTGTTCAGTGGCTAAAAATAGTATATTGTTGAATGAAAAACGAAATGATCATAATACCTCCTATAATAGTTGCCAAAATAGTAATACCGTCCGAGAATTCATTGATTATTCAAGGTAATAAATAAATTATATAACATTTAAGTAAAGTTAATTTATATGTTGATCTCTCTCTCTCTCTCTCTCTCTCTCTCTCTTAATTTTTAATGTAATATAATTATTAACTCATTTATATTCACAGAATTTGTTTCACGTTTTTATCGCAAATGAATGGAGAATCTGACGAAAACTTTACGATTAATAACGACAACATTTACAGCGACTATATCAGGACATTGTTTTACATCAAACTTAAACTAACTAATAGTCCCAGACTTCGAGTGGTTGTCCACTCCAGGGATCAACCACTTCAACGGAGTAACAAATTTGGGTCCAATATAATTGAATACCCATTAAACGCGGCCAATAGCACGGGAACGGTATATTACATGGAGTATAAGAAAATTATAATGAAATCATTGCCCAAACCCTATCACACAAATTGCAAGGATTATCGGGAAACCGAGTTTAAGTCACTGTCCGATTGCATAACACATTGTCGTATAAATGGGTTTATGGAGGAATCGCCTAATATGTGGCCGGGTAGTTATTTGCAAGCAAATAAATCATTGAACATAAAAATTATTGAAACATATATAAGTTATTTTAAAAATCCATATTTTAACAACGTGCTAGCTAAACGCTGTAAAAATGAGTGTGGATCAAATATTGAGTGTAATCGCGTATATTATGAGTTAAATCTGAAACAAATTTATGTGTCCCCGCTAGCATTCTACGTAATAGTATACCCACCAAATAACCCTGATATTATATATACTCATTCACCGAAAATACTGTTTGAAGAGTTTGTGTCATATATTGCATCCTATGTTAGCCTATGGTTTGGATTCTCTATTATAATGCTATTCAATGTTATTCACAAATGCTATCTATATATTGATCAGAAAATTA